GATGGGCTCAGGCTGTAGCCATGCCTGGCAGCCTCCTTGGGGCTGGGGTCTTCTGCTGAGGCCTGGGGGCCAGTGCTTGTCCAGGTTCATTTAGTTTTTGTGCCCTGCTTTGTCACCACTGCTGCTGAACACCACGGCCCCCTGTGCCCTGTGTAAGTGTCACACTTCGAGTCCAACTGCCAATCTCATTGCTCACGATTAATGTTCCTCTTTTCTTTCTTCTCGTCCCATGGCAGTGAGTGTGGCCCACCTTGTGTGATAAGCTCTGCTTCCCTCCAGAAGTGTCTGGTGGGGATCAGGTTGTGGTCACTGGGCTGGGGAATAGCAAATAAAATGGGACGTGACAGTCTTCCCATGCAGCTGAGCTGGTTTGAGCTGGTATTATCTTCACTTTTGGTTCACTTTTTTCTTTTTTTGTCTTTTTCCTTAGATCCCAAAACAGCCACAGAAACAGAGACAGACATCTGTGCGGAGTGGGAGATAAAGACCATTACTAGTGCACTGAAAACCTACCTGAGGTAAGGCAGGAAAGCCTCATCTGTCATGCAGCTTCAGTGATGACCTGGGATGTTACTGCCTGTTATTGCAGATCCTTAACAATCGCACTTTGACAGAAACCAAGTAGAAAATGCTCTTCAATTATTTATTCTGGCTTTTCCCTTGACCCTCCAGCACGTTGGAGTAGGATCTGGGGAATATGTTGAGCTCTGACAGATGCGTGTATCATACAAACATGGGTTTAAAAGTCTCACATCCCCTGCCTTGATTGAAGCTTTGCCTTAAACTGCTCAGGAGGGGCTCCCACCTGCTGAGCAGTGGCTGAGGGGAGCCCAGGGCTGCTCTGAGGGCTGCTCAGAGCTGGGTGCAGAGCTTTGGTGTACTCATAGGGTAACACATCATCTCTGTGTGTGAGTTGATGCCATTATCACAGTGGGTTATCTTCCTAAAGGTGAGTTTGTTGGCTGCTCCCAGCATCTTGTTCCCCACAACATGCTCCTGCCTGTTGTGGCTGCAGCTCCGTGCCTGTTCTCGCTGATCCAGGTCTTGGGCTGCGTTTGAGAGGGAGCGCATGCAAGAGAGAGGCTCAATCCAATTAAGGTGATGAGTGTAATTAGCGTGGTGGATCTCAGCCTAGAAAATCACAAAGTGCTGTATAATTTTGCATGATTGGCAACCTTTGCTCCAGAGTATGAACTGTTTGCAAAGCCATGAAGGATGTCGGCAGCACCAAGATGTCTCAGTGAAGGGATGTGGAAGTGGGAGGAGAGAATGGGGAATTTAATGGGAATGTTCATGTTTTATGACTAAGTTTGTTTCCCTTTTACATTTTTTTTTAAACTTACTTGGAAACATGGACTTCCTAATGTACTGAAACTCTGAAGGAATGCTAAAATTAAAAATTAATTTAGTGTGGTGCAAAAAAGGGAGGAAGAATAAATCGAAAGCACTTCAGTAGATCTTACTCCTTCTGATGGGGAAATCAACAAGAATTGCTATTGATTAATTCTGCACCTTTAAAAATGGAGCTGAATTTATGTTAAAGGTAAAGCTTTCTTGCTGTGGATAGTGTTGCTCAGAGGAGTTGGTGCATGTTACCTTTTTATCTTCCAGAATGCTGCCAGGGCCACTCATGATGTACCAGTTTCAAAGGAGCTTCATCAAAGCAGCAAGTGAGTTTGTTGATGTTTGTGGCGCTTCTCTGGAAGTGGAGAGTAATTTGCAAGTAACTGAGCATAACCTCTGCCCTGCTGCTTCCCCACCAACCTCCTTCTTCCTAACTTCTGGAAAGTAGAGTAAGAACAGAGACAGTAGGGACATGTTGTTGTTTGGGACTTCCTGGATGAAAAGGAGCTGTGGGATGGTGCAGGGGGAATGGAGAGCTGGCTGGCCCCTTTCCTGATCACAACTGGCTTTTTGTATGGCTGGTGTCTGCTCTCAGCTCCCTGCTTCAGCCAGTTCATTTCTCCCATTTGGCAACAAATGGTTGCAGTTGGTAGATAGGAAGAGTCCCATGGAGAGCACCTGCAGCATGCCTGGGTGCAAGGTGGGGTAGGGAGAGGGATCCCCGGGTCCCTGGGATGGTTGTCAGTGCTTGTGTTGGGGCCTGCATGCCTCTTTCCATGATAACCTTCTGATGCATCATCTTTTATTTCCAACGCAGAACTGGAGAATCAAGAGTCAAGAGTGTCAGAGATCCACAGCCTCGTGCATCGGCTCCCGGAGAAAAACAGGCAGATGCTGCACTTGCTCATGAACCACTTGGCAAAGTACGTTTATGACTGATATGTTTTTCTCTCCTTTTTCCACTTCCTTTGAAAGTTAATAGTGGTAGAAAAGTTTCCTTGTGTGAGTGTGCAGTGTTGAGTCATATCGGGTTGGCGAGTAACTGGAAACCCACGTGTGAGTGAAATGAGGAGGGACAGAGCAGGAAGGGAGGGAAGGAGGGGCTGGTCCCACTGACCCATGTCCCTGCTGGCCCTGCCAGTGCCACCCTGCCCTGGCCCTGCGGTGGCCGGAGCAACCCATGCACTACTGGGAATATAGTGTTGCTCTTAATGGCGTGGTAATGGGGTTGGGCTCTCCAGAAGGCAGAGCAGAGGTTAAGCTCAGTCTGGGCTTCAGATCAAGCCTAGTGTTAAAGCACTAAAAGCTCTTTCTTCGCTACAATAGGCGACTCAGGGGTGTGTTTTCTGCCTTCATGTGACCTGGTTAATCAATACTTCTAGACGACCTTGAAACTTCTCAAGGGCAGAGGAATCATTTTTTTGCTCTCAGTGGTAGAGCTGACCTATAATTTCCTATGTTCTTCCTGCTCCTGCAGGTTACCATGGAAACCTTTGATTAGTGTTTAAAAAGTGAAAGCATGTTCAGGTGTTCACGCCAGCCTCAAGGCTGCGGGGTCGTACCTGCCCTCGCTCGTCGCGTGGGCATTGAGTGAGCAAGAGGGATGAGGCAGGACTTGGAAACCTGGGGAATGAGTTAATCAGCATAAGTGTTTAAAAGAAGAGAACCTGAAGTAATCTGTTTAAGAGACAAAATAACAGATGATGCTTCAAATAGGCTTAAAAATTACTCCAGATGCTTTCTTACAACGCGGATTTGTATCTGTTCCATGGATTCCCCAGCAAAGCTGTGAAAAACCAAAGACCTGGTTTAGATCTCTGTTTCAAAACCTTCTGCATTTACAGGCTCAAGCCAAGGGCCAGGCGGTTCCAGGTACTCCCGCCAACCAAATATGTGTGAGGAATCTCATAACTGCTCAAGTGCTTTTCATTTAAAGGAAAACCTGGTGGTGTTTGAGTGCGATGTGGAGGGGGGAGGCAGGTAACACAATGGGTTTCATGCTGCTTTAGTAGGAAAGGAACTAAAACAAAACACAAACAAGCAATAAGGCTGGTGGTGTGTGCTATATTAGGAAGAGGAACAGCTCGTAGTTGTTATTTGATGGGAAAAAAAATTATCTCGGAGAACGGCAGGAAGCCGAGAAGCAAGAGCCTGCTCTGCTGAGCTCGCCGCCCTGCGGCAGCTCCCCCAGCCCTGGAGCCAGAGCTGCTCCTGGGGCGTCCCGGGCTGTGGGGCTGGAGGAGCAGCCAGCCCCAGGCAGGGGCTCTCCAGCACCCCTCCTGTGGCAGTGCTGCAGCCCCTGCACAGTGGGTATCCTGCACCCAGCCCCTCCGGAGCAGCACATGTCTGCAGGAGCACAGGGAGGGCAGCCCAGCCCAGGGCTCATTACTGCGCCTCTTCTAATTGCAGCGGTTGAGGCAGTGGGACCATAAAGCCAGGTTAAAGGCTGAGCAGGAGATAAAGCTTCACATCTGCAGATGATGTTTGGGGAGAGGGAGAATGTGGCAGAAGGGACAGGGGCTGGGCTGCCCCGGTGACCAGTGTGGGGAAGGGGAGTGCTTCAGGGTGGGGCTGGTGGGGTTTGGGTGCTGCCCCATCCTGGGCATCCAGAACTAACATGAGCAAAACTGAAAGGCCCCATCCTGACGCTGCCAAACTGAGCTGCACTTCTCAGAGGAGATTACCTCATCTGTTTCTGTTTTGGTTTAGTTTTTTGGATTTTATTTTAAGCTATGTCTGAATAATCAAGATTTGCGTTTTTATCAGATGAGCTAAAAAATATTTCTCACAGTATTACTGTGAAGTTTACTTGCACTAGAAGCAGAAGTCAATCTGCAACAGTCAAATAGAGAAAGAGTCTGTCCCACACTGTCTTACATCTGGTTTTTTTGGTTTGTGCACTTGCTGTTTCTTACTAAACCAGCCGGGGAGCAAGCGCGCCTCCTGGGGCGTCCGGGGCTGTGGGGCTGGAGGAGCAGCCAGCCCCAGGCAGGGGCTCTCCAGCACCCCTCCTGTGGCAGTGCTGCAGCCCCTGCACAGTGGGTATCCTGCACCCAGCCCCTCCGGAGCAGCACATGTCTGCAGGAGCACAGGGAGGGCAGCCCAGCCCAGGGCTCATTACTGCGCCTCTTCTAATTGCAGCGGTTGAGGCAGTGGGACCATAAAGCCAGGTTAAAGGCTGAGCAGGAGATAAAGCTTCACATCTGCAGATGATGTTTGGGGAGAGGGAGAATGTGGCAGAAGGGACAGGGGCTGGGCTGCCCCGGTGACCAGTGTGGGGAAGGGGAGTGCTTCAGGGTGGGGCTGGTGGGGTTTGGGTGCTGCCCCATCCTGGGCATCCAGAACTAACATGAGCAAAACTGAAAGGCCCCGTCCTGACGCTGCCAAACTGAGCTGCACTTCTCAGAGGAGATTACCTCATCTGTTTCTGTTTTGGTTTAGTTTTTTGGATTTTATTTTAAGCTATGTCTGAATAATCAAGATTTGCGTTTTTATCAGATGAGCTAAAAAATATTTCTCACAGTATTACTGTGAAGTTTACTTGCACTAGAAGCAGAAGTCAATCTGCAACAGTCAAATAGAGAAAGAGTCTGTCCCACACTGTCTTACATCTGGTTTTTTTGGTTTGTGCACTTGCTGTTTCTTACTAAAAAAGCACATGGGGCTTCTTGTGTGGTGTGGAGCTGCCATTAATAACAGTAATAAAACCACCCTAATAGGAGGCGAGAGGAGAGCAGATCCTGGGGAAAGGCACAGGCAGGGTGGAGGGTGAGGAGTGTATAAATAGAAAATTTGGTTTCTGCCTTTTGCTGTATCTTTAGGCCTATTTGTGCTGTCTCATGTTCAGATGTCCAGGCAATTACCCTCTGTGAATACAGAGCATGAGCAATCCCTGTCTGTGTTCCTCCATCAGGGATATAATGCTGCAAATTTCCTTTTCTGCTCTAAGGACTCTGCTTCCAGTGAAAATTGCTATTATGATGTTATTCTTTGACTCATGAGTAGGTCAAACCTTTAATTTTCCTTCCTGGGACATGTTCACAATGTCAGGAGTCCTGTGATAAACCCAGGGGTGATTTGCTGTTCCAAAAGAATGGAGAGCTCTTTATTCTGATGTTTTTCCAAGGTGGATGTTGGCAGGAAAGCCTGAACACCCTCTGTCCGGACTGTCCCAGTAAGCCCCATACCTGTGTCTGCTGACCCTGCCAAGGGGCATGACTGAGGAGGCAGCAACTGAAGTTAGGGAGACTCTGGTCATCTTAAAAATCACCCAGTTTCTCTTGTCTCAGGCCAGAATAGCCCATGCCTTTCAAAGAACTGAAAGGCAAACCCAGCACATTTTCTGTTTCCTGTAGCTGGATTAGTTACCAGTCTCTCCTGCTTAGTCAGTCCATTACCTCTTGCAGCTTTAATGTTTGCAGGGCATGGCTGGTGAGAGTTCTCCTCCCCCTGCTCTACAGGTAAGAAATACGCTTTTTAAAAAGCTACATGAAGAGCTGATGCCAGGAGACGTGGGGAGCTTGCTGTGTGACCTGTATGGTACCCAAACATGTGGCACTGACCCTGCCCCCCACCCCCCCGTGCCTCTTCCAGGGGGTGACATTTATAGGTCCCTTCCAACCCAAGACATTCTATCATTCTGTCATGTTTTAGCAGCCTGTGCCCACCCTTCCCCCTCCTCTGTCGGGGCAGCAGCTTCAAGTCTGCACAGCGTGGGACTCTTCACACCATCCTTAGGGCTTTCTCTTTTTTTCTGGGACTTTTCCCCCACTGTTCCTGGCTGGGGAAGCAGGCAAAGGATGCCTCCTGGGTGCTGCAGAGCACCGTGGGTGCAGCAGGCTGCCCCACTGCACGTCACCTAGCAACTGCCTGCATGCTGCTGGCTTGTTTTGCTGCAGAGAGCTGCTTTTGGCCCAGCACCTATCTCCAGCAACAGCTACACTGGAGTTTCAAATGCTATTTTATCAACAGAATGTGGCAGCTCAGATTAAAGTCATTTTTTTTTTCCTGCCAAATAAGTTAAAGCTGCTGAGCGCGGTGCTGCCGGGAGTGCAGCTGGTTGCAGAAAACTGCCATTTTTGCCTTTTTCTTCTCTTTCAGTGTGCTTTCATGTTAGGTGACAAATGCTTTGGAGGTGCGGAGCAGGAGGATTTAACTCTGATTATCTTTCCAGAATTTCAGAATGGTTGTTATTATTTTTTTTTTACATGCATATAATTGCAGTGACACCTGAGCCTTGCCCTGCTCTGTGGCACTGAGATCCAGGTTCTGCCGTGCAGATGGTGCTGTGCTTGTGCACCCTGCTGAGGGGCTCCTGCTCCCAGCCCGTGGCTCTGTCACTCTGAGCATCACTGCTGCTGCTCCATGCATCATCCCCCCAGCCGAGGAGGGGCAGGGCTGCCCCTGCCTGCATGTCTGCTCCTCTCCTGGCACAGGGTCAAAAGAATTTAGGAGGCTGCAGGAAAGAAGTGTCTACGTGTATTTAGCAGAATCAATTATCTTTAATCATCCACGGCTGTGGCCTGGCCAGCAGTGACTAGTTGCCTTTCTTTTTCCTGTGATGGTGTTTTCTAATTTACGTGTTTTAACCAAGATGATAGTGATTACTATCTCTAGCACAAATTGTTTTCCACTTATCAGCATGGATGGTTTCCATGGGCCCTGCAGGGCGGCTGCTGTTGGTCGTGGCCCCACCGAGCCAGCCAAACCCACCCTCTCTTGCAGCCCCTTGGCAGGATGGGGCAGGGGCTGAGCTCTCCAAGGGTGCTCTGCTGAATGAGGGACTGCTGGAAGGAGAAGAGGACAAGCATCTTCTGGGTCTTCTGCCTAAAAATACAACCCGGTGCTTGTTTTCCCCCGCGTGGAGCAGCCCTGTCCTTGGCAGCCCTGGGCTGCGCTGCCCGCACACAGCCCTGCGGCAGCC